TTCTTGTAAAATATGAAAAACGGAACAAATGTTATGTTAGGCTGAATGAAATTCAACCAATGCACTTTACAGAAAACAGATATTTATGATCAAAGACAATAAAGAAAATCTTGTGAAAGACTATTTCAGAATCAGATGGAATTAATAATAGGTCTCTTAATTTTTCTACATGAAGCTCTGTTTTTTGTTTGTTCATTTACTGACAGAAATGTGTGTGCATTTCTTCATGTTTAATAACAGTGATCATTGACGCTGAAATTTAAGTATATGGTTAAAGTAAGAGGTTCATTGGTTTCATAAACCATTCATATGAAAATCAAATTTCAATGAAAGCATCATGTTTCTATCTATAGGAGTGTTAAAATAGTCAACCAGGCATGACAATATACACTGATGTGCCAAAAGTGCTAGGATAACAGTATAGAAAGGTAAGGGGTGTTTGTCACTATGTCATGTGCTTTAACATCTGGTGAGTCAGTGTGAACACCAACTACAGTAGGCAGCTTATATCAAGGTGTCATGAATTATTGAAGTTCAAACTGATCATGATAATAGGTGTGAGAAAAATGGGACATTGCATTTCTGAAATTGTTGGTGTCATTTAATATTCTTTGATTTATAGAGTCACATAGATATTGGAAATACTTAATGTAAAATATTACTACCCACATAGACAGTGCAGTGTCTAATCATGAATCGTTAATGATTCTGGCCTGAGATGTCTGGTGATATTGTCTGCAATAACAAACAAACAACATTGACTCAAATCACATTAACATTCAATGCAGGAAATATTAGAAACATATCCAGCAGGCCAGTTGCGCATTTTTTGTCTTACATGTAATATGAGAGCAGAAAACCCACCAGGATGCTCCTGTCAACACCATAAAACACCTGGGATTACAAATCTGATCTTAGATGACTGGCCACATGTGGCATATTATGAAGTATAAAAGTTCTAGTTGTTTTGAACTGATAAACTCATTCATTTGTGATGCAGGCACCATAAAACATATCCCAAAGATACTATGCAGGATAGCGGTGGTTCTATAATAGTTTGGGAGGTGTTCCTGTAGCATGGTTTGATTCCCTTTGTCTGCTTAAACACATCATTGGCCAGTGACTGCTCTGTTGCACTACCTCATGACCATTTGCAACCATTCATAAATTCCAAATATACCCCAGAAAAGATGGGATAAAATTCTAACTGGATAATAAACCATGTCATTAGACACAAGTGCCTTGCTCAGGATTGATTTGAAGAGCATTCTGAGGACCACCACATTTATACAACTGTATACAATTACAAACATTTGAGTGAGGAGATCTTTACCTATGTAAAATAAGGGAGCTACAAATATCAGGAAGTTATGGACAGCTATAAAGATGGAATGCCTCAACATCTCTTGAGAGATCTCCAGATCACTTGTTAAATTTCCTATTACTTTGAGTTCCCATAATTCATCTTGCTAGAATATGTTCGTTGGAATAAATAAGGCACTTATTACCCTTCATGGAAATAAAGTACGTGGATGACATGTCAGCCACTTTGTGGCATCACTACATACAGTGATGATATCAGCAGTCAAAATTCAGTTTATTTACAGAAGCCACCATGTAAGTTTGCTTTCTTTTAGCCTGGGTTAAAGGGCCCAGGCTGAGGCTGAATCTGCCTCTCCTGTAGTTTACAAGTCCATAGGGTGCCATTTCCCTTTGAGAATATATCTTTTCTAGATAAAGAATAAAACTTCAGCTTGCAGTCCTCAATTTTGGAAAACCCAAAACTTGCTGTTTCCTATTCATGGAATTTGTTTTCATCTGGGACTTAGATGAATCCAACCCATTTGAATCTGGAGTCCTAAAAATGGTTTCTCCAGACATAGGAATATCTTCATATAATATATAAGACCCATCCTTTTTTTTTCTCCTTACACTTTGCTTTGATGTGTAGATATATGTGATGTAATTTCTCTGGGTGAGACATGTATATATAATTTGTGCATGTCTTAGTATTATAAAAGTTTCCCTTAGAACAAAGCATGTTTGTCTTTCTTTTTCCTTTCAGCCATTCTGTTCCATCCATGAACTGTGGTGTCATTATATCATGGTAATAATAATGCCCATAATGGGAAGACAAATGGAAGAATAAAGCTTTCTTCCATAGCGCTCACCTGTTACATGTCCTATATTATAGTAGGCACCAATTCCATGAGTCTTGTCATTTCATTGTGAAAATGCAATGCAAAGCTGGTTACATGGGCAATTGTAATATAATAACAACACCAAGTAGAAACTTATGAAGCTTTATTAGATTTAATTCAGCTTTGGTGTTGAAAATGTTATATTTATTGTAATGGATATTTACAAGCAAGAGGGGAGATGGGATGTAATTATTTTATTACCACAAGAATAAAGACAAAGAGAACAAAAAATTGAGAAACTTTACTTCTTTTTTACTATACTTGTTTAGATTGTAGACTTTGTTTGTTGAATGTCAGCTTCTAATGGAATAGCACATAATTTTTTTTAAGCTTTTTATCCCAAGCAAGGTGGGAGTGTCACTAGTACACAGGGGGATTACAGAGCATGAATGTAAGAGAAAAGACTGGGTATAGGGGGGGTGAGGAAAGGCTAAAAAGAACAGAGATCAGGACATCAGAAGATGATGATTGATGTTACGTTTAAATTTTTGAAGATTGTAGTTATCAGGGAAGCAAGTAAGAGGAAGGGAGTTTCCCTGTCAAGAAGTGTAAGAGAAGAAGCTGTTGGAATAGAAGAGGCAGTTGCATTTAACTATTTCAACAGCAAAAGGGTGGATTGGATAATGTAAAAGTTCATTCTCTTTAGTAAGTAAAAATCAAAAAAATAATTCTTATTTCCAATATTAACTTTATTTTAACACAACATTTCCATTCCAATATCCTCTACCATTGTTGAGCCAACTTCCTTCTGGAAATTTTTATTTGTCTCAATGAAAAACTGTATGAAAAACTGTTTGCAAACTTCCAAAGAATTTTTAAAATTTTCATTTAGACAATTCTGTAAATATAGAATACAACAGATAAGTAAAACTTTTTCAGCCAAGCTCTAACAATTTTGGCATTATCAATAAATAAATGTGCAGATTCATATTATTCTGATGAATAACTAATCCTCTTAACTAAATCCAGAAACTTTTTTATCAGTTGCTGTTTTCAACTGTTTTTATTAGAAGCAATACTTGTTTAAATAAATCATTTGATTCTCCTTATTGAACTCTTAACATATGGCATCCTTTCTATTTTGCCACATACACATCACCTTATTATAGCAGGACAGACTGGGTTTTATAGCCTTAGATGGCAACTGGTCTACTGCAGAAAGAAATGGCAACCTACTGCAGGAAAAAATCTACCTCGTCAGTCATGTATTGAAAGATATATAATCGCCTAAGCATGTATCACACATGGCACATAACTTTATGATTAGTGGAATTTAATTTTGTTTTGCCACATAATTTCTTGCCTTTCTCAGTGCCATAAAGTATATTTCCTTCCCAATGACTGACTGTGACTTGTGACTGTTATAATTCTTTTAAACATTTTCATTATAGCCACCCATCAAACAAAATGACTAACGTAATCAAACTTGTGTTTGATTTGAATATTATGAGTATGTTAGCTATTTCCCCACATTGTATAATATTAGTTATTTCTAAGTAATATCTTGAGTTGATAACTATCTGGTTCACTAGACCATAGAGTATCATTTTTTGCAAAATGAATCCAGCATAAATTTCCACAACCTGCTTTTTTCACACCTTTACCATCTCCATAAATTGCATACATCTATTTTTACATATGATATATTTATATATATTTAACTCTTGTTAAAAAAAAACATAATATTTTTAAAAATTTTCTTTTTTTATGCCCAATACAAAGTTTAAGAGCCATTCAAGACAGAGCATTACTGAATAACATGTGTGATATAAATGTGGTAGGAAGTGAAGATTATGAGAATAAGGAGGATAGATAATGATTGATCCTTAACTAGAAGAGTTCAAGAGTGAAGTATAGAGGAGAGTATCTATGTGGGAGTTTGTTACTTAACATAATAGTTCTTGAGAAAATGAGGGTGAACTAGCATGGAATATCCAGAATGTAAAGGTGGGGTCTGGTGGAACTACAGAATGGATCACATCTGAACATTTTCCATGGAAATAACAATAGAATAGCAATAGACTTGCATCTGTGAGAAAATAACTCACTGCCTTCCCGCAATACCTTGTAAATGATTTTAAATTCTATGTTTGCAATGTCAGGATTGAGCCACTATAGCACCAAGAGACTAATTTTGGTCTAATCTGATTCTTTTAAAGATAAAGCATGGCAGGTACTTTCTGGACTTATAGATGTGCTAACCAAAAGACAAACCTTACTAACAGCTACAAAGGATAGGAAGTTGTGGAGAGTCAGGATGACCTGAATCATAAAGGAACACAGTTTATAGATGAAGATTATTAGTAGTAATAATAGCTTGAAATATTTTTATTATTATCATAAGTCTTATCTGCTAGTATTATCTTTTACCCTAATTTTATTTTTCTTAACACAACTAAATTTTTTTACCATTTTTGAATGTCATGGATTAAATTCTCAACAAAAACCAAATTTGCGTTTGTTTTGTCTTTTTATGGTTACATTTAATTATTTGTTTACCGTTAGCTCTCAACGCTCAAACTTTAGCTTGAGTGATTAATTTGTTTTTTACAGCTTATCAACTTTTGCTGGTTATTTTAAAACCAGAAAATACTTTTAGATTGTAAGAATTTTTTGGCAATAATAATGATTTACTCATATACATTCTACTAATTAAACCATAGCTGGTGGGGAGAAGAGGTAGATTCATACCTTTCCCAAGGGTATTTGCATGAATATAATGAACCTAACTGAAATTGGAACTCAGCCCTTTGATTGGAACTCAGCTGTTATCCATTACCTTACTTGTACATCCAAGCTTATAGCACTTGGAATTACTAAGCAGTCACCCATCTAGGTACAGACTAGGCTCAACATTGCTTAACTTCAGTGATCATAAGAGAACCATTGTTTCAACGTGATATGGCCATAAGCTTCTCAAAGTGTAGGAGTAACTATCACAGTAAAATAAACTTCCCAAGATGTAAAAAAAACAAACTTTATCTTTGTAATTTGTAATATTTCCCATAATGCATACTTTTCGCTTCCTCTTTTATTTAATATTGGTACCAAAAAAGCATTTATTACACATCAGAATAATTTCTTATCTTCCAGAGATGAGAGTTTGTGGCTTTGAAGTATTTTCTTACTCACTGAGTAAAAAGATTTTGGAAAAGAAATAGACATTTCTTTGATGATACTTACCAATTCATTGGTACTTCTCTCAGGAAATTGTCTCTGTAAACGATCAAAGACCAGCATGTTTCTTTGAGGCATGTCTATTGCATACTGATTCAATACAGACACAAATTCTAAATGATCTGACTCATTCCATCCACCATTTTCTCCATAACTAACAATAGAAAATTAAAAAAAAAGAAATCATTTAAATATTTCGTTCCACTATATAATTACGTTTTTGTCAACTCTATTTTGGATTAGACACATTGTGGGAAAGTTTAAAAATTGGCCACTTATTTAGGACAACACAAATAAAGGTATTAGGATGAGTCATCAATAATTTTTGCTATTGTTTATCAATTTTGTTCTTAAAAATAAAGTAAAATTCGATTTTAGACAATGATATATTCACCATTATTTTGAGTGATTTGTTGCCACTAATCATGCAGCTCTTCAATAACATTTGAATAAAATGAGGAAATGAGAAGTTAATATTCAAAAAACAACAAATACAACAAATGCTACTAAATTTTTAGTGTATAAAATAAACAATGAAACATCCACTATAAGGTAATCAATAAAAGAATAGCTGGTTTCATAAAATACATCTATTGGATGCTTTGGTATACATCATCATCAGTGATGTTTCTAGCCGAGGTTCATTAGGAGTTTCAGGTCTTTCAACATCATACTCCCTCTCCATAGTGACTCAGCCGATACTGATCGGGTATCGATTTGTGTACCTTTCGTTAGCTACAATTTTTTCTATCTTCCTATCTACACACCATTCAACTCCTCTTGGCATTTATTGTCCAATCTCAGATGACTTATGAAATATATGGCTGAAATTTCTGGGACACATTATGCAGAAAGAGGGTTTGAAAAATCTAACACTCACAGGACATACTGAAGAAATGAGGGGAAAGGGATATAGAGAGTAATCTATCTCATGAGTTTATGGGAATGGATAGCAAAAGCAGGGACAAAGGGCTATGGTAAACAGTTAAATGTTGTTTTGAGCTACAGTGAGCAGAATGTTGTGGAGAGCCATGATCACTCACATCCTGAAGATATATGGCATATAAGAGAAGAAAATCACTAATGGGGTATTAATGCTATTATTATATTAAGTCACCAGATAATGGGTGAGCTATGGAAGAAAAGAATATTCTCCTGATTTTCATTTCCCCCATTAAGGGCATTATTGTATCGGTGATATAATAACACCTTAATTCAAGCATGGAATGGAATAGCTGAAATGAGAGGAATGGCAAACATGCATTTTCCTCAGAGAGAGTTTCATGCTGCAAAGTCATACACAAAATTATATACACATCTATAACACATGTATAACACACAAACAGTACACAAATGGCAAAGAGATAAAGATAATTTTCATTTGAAATTTGAGCTGTTTGAGGATTCTTCTGTGTTTCTGGAGAAGCCATATTTAGGATTCCCAACAGAGATTCAAGCAGGCTGGATTTATCTTCTATGTCATGAGCACAGACATATTCCTTACACAGGTGAGTTTATCCCAACATGAGGGCTGCAAGCTGGAGATAGTTTCTATATCTGGTGAAGATATATTCCCAAAGGAAAATGTCACCATGGGCTTGTAAGCTGCCCCAAGTGGCAGCTGGATGGTCCAGACAGATGTTTGACTCCTAGAAGTTGATTGACAGTCTGGCTATTTTCGTTACTCTATGAAGTGATGTCACAATAAAAGGGAGATAATTGCTTTTTGTATTCTTACAAGACTATAGCCATTCCACATTTGGCATCTGATAACTGTCATGCTCTGCTAGTACATGTTGAAGTAACTATCCAGTTATTATCACAATTTTTAATAAATTGACTGTCAAGGATTATATATTTACATGTGAAGATATGCAAAAAGCAAAAAGATTTTTTCTATTCCTTAAAATTACTTAATTTCATGCATTGATTATTGCTGTTGTAGTGCTTTAATAAACCTAATATCAGTAGCAGCCCTTAAACATAGTAGCAGTAGCAGCTCTTAATGAAACTTGTATCAGCAGCAGCTCTAGGATATAAAACATGTAGACCCTTCTGTGTTTTCCTCTTTCAAACTATGTGACATGAACTTTTCATGTTTTGTTTGGGAGAAATAACAAAAAGACAAAATGTATTAAGAGCTACAAGTGACGGGAAGATGTGGAGGTCCATGATAGCCTATGACCTGAAGGCACATAAAAGAAGAGGAAGAATTAGATTGGCAATTAGGTTTCATAATTTCACTGTTGAAATTGCCAGATGTAACCGTAAGTTCTATGCTAATAGTTTCTTCATTTGCACTTCTTGCTTGTGGAACTCTCTTCCAACTTCTTGCTTTCAAGTCAACTTTAATGTTCAGAAAATGAAATGCAATGTCAGTCATTATCTTCTGTCTCCTTGCATCCTGTTCCTTTATTCTCATCTCTCCTAAATAATGATTTTTCTCAGATTCTTTTACTCTCAGAAACCCCTTGTATTTTAGTGGCTTTATCACCATTCTTATGAGTGAAATGATTTAAAAAAAGGCAACAGCTAAAGACCTCAGTGGCACAATTTTCAACAGGAAGTTTAAATTTTCACTCCAAGGGCTGTCAAGACTTTTGACCTTCTGCTGTATCAATTTGTGAGCAGAAATCGGAACTGGCATAAACAGGAAATGCATCCAATGGCTAAAATAAAGAGGTTGCACAGGTGTCCTGATCCTTGAATAAACAGGGTGCTTGCTGGAAGAGGCATGGCCACATGAAGTTGCACTGGCAACATACCTGAAGACGGTGTAGCCACGTGAATTTGCGTGGGTGTTCAAAAGTTATAAAAACCGTTCGATTCTTGATCAGGACAAAGAGGCTGACTAGAATTTCACTCCGCCAATTCCTGTATGTGCAATCCTCACTCTACCCATTTGCCTCAACTTGAATAATAAAGATATTTATATATTTTTATATTTATGTGTTTGTCACATCAATTGAGCCCAGCAACAGAAACTAAGAAAAGAGTGCTGTAATATGAAGATGAGAATTGAAGCAACAGAGATAATGTTTCTGAAGGAGAATACTGAGGATATCATGAATGGAGCATGTAAGCAATGAGGAAGTTTTAAGGGAAATGGGAACAAAAACAATGCTTATACTTAGAATCAAAAAGAGAAAATTGAAGTGTCTCAGACACATAATGAGTAAAAAGGAGTTGGAGAGTTTCATACTCACAGAATATATTGACGGTAAGAGGGAAACATTGTGCAATCTATCTAAATATGTAAATGAATAGCAAAAAAGCAAGTGTGAGGGATAATAAAAAGACAAATTTCACTTAGAGTGAGAAATTTTAGACAATTTTTGTCACCAGAACACATTTATATCTACTACTAATCCATGTATTATTGACACATCTGATTTGGTGCTATGTATTTAAGGATTCTAGATAAAATACAAAGAAGAATATGCAATGTTACTGGTCCTAATCTGGCATCTCAGCTTCTATCACTGTAGCTTTCCCGTTGTCTGATGAAATTTCCTCTATGGTACCTAGATCTTAAGCCCAGTACAATAGCTAGATCTCATTTTACAGTTGATATGGTGAGATTCAATTGTAAGTCCTATGTTAACAGTTTCTTCTACTACACTTCTAACTTGTGGAACTCTCTTCCGGCTTCTTGCCATCCAGTCAACTTTGATCTTCAAAAATTTAAATGTAATGTCAATCGTTATCTTCTGTCTTCTCAATTCCTGTTCTTTTATTGTTCTCTCTTCTTAATTATGTATTTATTTCTCATATTCTCTCACACTTGGTAACCCATTACATCTTAGTGGCTTTATTTCTTTGCTTGGTGGTGAAATGATTAAAAAAATGATAGAACTTGTGGAGAACCATGATCACTAATATCCTGAAGGAACATAGCAGATGCTTTAGAGATGAAACCATAAGTTCTATGATGATAGTTTCTTCTCTCACACTTCTCACTTGTGGAACTCTCTTCAAGTTTTTTGCTTTCCAGTCGACTTTGATCTTCAAAAGCTTAAATGCAATGTCAATCTTTGTCTTCTGCCTTATTACTCACCTGCTAATTATTTTGGGAAAAACATTTCATTTTCAGACAATTTTTTTTATTTGTTTTTAATACAGTAACTAGGAAACCAGATATATGAGTTGATAATTGGACTTGTTTCAAGCTCAGAAGGGCATAAAAAGAATCAAGATTGAGATATAAACATGTCTGCAGCTGGTTTTTGAATGTTATGTTTTGAACTTGCTTATTCGTCTGTGTCTGAAAAATACACTTTCGCTATAAATGCATATACACGTCTATGAGATTAATTCTTGTTCTTTTATTGTCCTCTCTGCTTAATAGTAGATTTTTTTCTCATTTTATCTAACTCAGTAACCCTTTGCATCCTAGTGGCTTTATTACCTTTCTTGGAGTGAAATGATTAAAAAGAATATGATGAAATTTGCCATGGGAAGAGATTGTTTCTTTCATGTAATTCTGTAAAAGCATATAAATGAATGTGGATGTTAAGGTGAACAAATTAGTGTTCAATGCTTTTATTATTTTTTATTTATCAGATCAAAAGTAACAGAAAAGGGAAACTGTGTTATAACAAACCTAAATTCATGCTAGTTAGATCAACCATTCACTATTTGGCCAAATGTGATCTATCTTAAATAAAATGTAAAACTTATTTCCACAGTATAATTACCTCAGAACATCAGTATACTGATCTTTCAACAGCTGTAGTCTGTCTTCAAAATTCTCATCTATCTTAAAGAACTCTGAAAGCAACTGTAGTTTTAAGTCTTCATCAGGACATGGCATAGCCATGGCTTCTGGAGGGACACCTCGCTCCACTTTAATGACTGCATCATTGGAGACTCCTATACTTTGCATTGCTTTTCCTGGCAAAAGAATTAACAAGAAACAGATTAGCCAACGCTTTCAATCTAATGTTTTCACTGCCTTCTGGCAAATTAGGGAAACTTTGGATAATTAACTTTTCTAATTACTTGAAAACATTGAAGAACAAGAGATGATTACACTGCAGTCAAAATTATTAACTGTCTTCTAAAATAATTACACTTTTTAGCGTCCCTTAAAACGCGTCTACAAGCACAAGTAGTGGGGATGTACAGGTAGTGTATATGTGGAATCAGCAAGCCAAGTTCAAATACCAAGATAATCTGTTGCATTTGCTTTTGCACTAGTACCTTTGGGATAAGTATGAATCTAGCTCTTCCCTCTATCTATGGGTTAAATAGCAGGTTTAGCAATGAGGAAACACTTCACCATCTTTCCCAGTAAATCATGGCAATCAATAAATAATAAAGAAAAGGAATTTGTGGTAGGTCCTGATTGTCTTCATACTAGAAGGGTACTACTGACGAGAAGGACTGTACAAATATTGTGCCGCTTGTGCACGAAATTGGAGTGCCACAGTATGAACCCAAAGATTGAAGACTATTCATTGATAGTGACAAACAATCACTGAAAAGTTTTAAGCTGCACAATGGCAACCAGTTTTTCTCCGTACACCTCGTTAACTCAACTATAATGAAGGAGAACTATGAAGCAGTGAAGTATGTTCTGGAGAAAATTCATTATGATCAACATGAGTGGTTTATTCACATTGACCTGAAGATGTTGAAATCTTTGTTGGGACGACAGTCAATGTTCACCAAGTATCCATGCTTTCTATGCAGATGGGATAGTAGGGACAATGCTCAGCATTACACGAACAAAGAACAAGGCATCAATTCCTCCCCAACAGGGGAGGAATTGATGCCTTGCAGAATAACAAATATCATCAATAAGTCTCTGGAGGATAGAGACAAGATACTTTCCCCACTGCTGCACATCAAGCTCAGCTTGATCAAGCAGTTCATCAAAGCTCTGGATAAGGATAGTAGCTGCTTCACTGACTTGTGCTAGGCTTTTTCAGAACTGACAATGAAGAAGTTGAAAGATGCCATTATTGATAGTTGTCAAATCTGGCAGCTCATCAGATATCCAGAGTTTGAAAATTCAATGAATGAAGTGGAACTGGAGGCATGGAAGGGTTTTGTTCTGGTTGTGAAGAACTTTCTTGGCAATGACAAGGCCAGGAACTATGCAGAACTTGTCATCAATATTCTGACTGCTTTCAGAAACCTCAGATAAAACATGAGCATCAAAATGCATTATTCATTCTCATATATGGATTGGTTTCCTGAGAATTTGGGATCAATGAGGATGAACAGTGGGGAGAGATTCCATCAGAACATGAAAGAGATAGAGACCCAGTATCAGGGGCATTGGAATGCAGTCATAATGGCTGATTACTGCTGGACTTTGAAGAGAGACACCTCTGCCGCTGATAATTCTAAGGGTTTGAATTTCAAGCCCTGAATATTGAACAATGATGACATAACATGCAATTTATATGTACTTACATTTATCAATGTATACTATTCAATTTATTGTAATCAATATTTGTAATATTTAATTAATAAATAATAATAACAATTTTTTTCTCTCATTTTGTATGAGAAAGATTAACAAAATTCAATTGATAATGTCACAAAAATATAATTGATTTAGTCATAAAATTGGATTTTTAAAAACTCAACATAGCACAAAAACATGACCTGATTGAGAGAAACGGATGTCATTTTCAGATTCACAAGTGAAAAATTGTCCTAAATCATTTGGAAATGTTTTTTTTTTGTTTCCCGGTGTTATGATGAATAATAGTTCTCTCATGGATAGAACAACCATTTATTCAACAACTATTGTGATTCAATCACACCACAGATCTCAAATGGAACCCATATATACAATCCATTACTAAAGATGCTGGAAAAATAGTCAATTCCTGGTACCACTTCAGTAAGTATCTGACATCACTTGCTACGCTCTATCTTTATAAGAGCCAGATCAGACCCAAAATAGAGTATTGCTATCATATCTGAGCTGACCATTCTTCACTTGCCTGTCTTGATAGAGTTCAAAAGTTTCTACATGGCCCTGTGGGTGATGAATTATTTCCATCATACAACACCTTTCCCACAGAAGAAACATTGCAAGCCTCTTGCTAATTTATTGATATTTCCATGGCAAGTGTCCTTTGTAACTTGGACCCAGCATGCCAGTTACAAAAGAGGAATCATCCTTTCCTTTTGTATTCCATTGTTAAGTACCATTCAGACAGCTTCTTCCCAATAACTGCTGCTTTGTGGAACAAACTCCTGGCAGGATGTTTTCCAGTCACTACAACCTTGACCTCTTCAAGTCTTGCGTTGACCATTATCTTTTCCTTTCATATTCCCATAGGAAGAAGTAAGTACCATTTAGACAGCTGCCTCCCAAGAACTGCTGCTTTGTGGAACAGACTCCTGGCAGGATGTTTTCCCAATCACTACAATTTTTATCTCTTCAAGTCTCGAGTTAATCATTATCTTTTCTGCATTACCCCATGTTCTTCACTTCTTTCTTACACTCATACAACACCACACAGTAACTCTCTATTTTGAGTGGCTCTTGTGCCTTTCATTGGATGAATATTAGTAAAAAAAATAATAAATAAAACTAAACTTTATCTTATCAATTTTTCAACTTAATAACTAAATTTAAGAACTGAAGTAATGAATCAAACAGCATCAAAGAGCAAAGCATATCTTTTAGAGAATTTAAAGACTCAGGACCAGGATAATTATTAATAAGTTTTGACTTTAATTTTCATAAGCCAAAACCTTATTCTTTATTTCCACTTTGTGTTGTTAACTGAGTGTTGTAGATTGACAGGGTAGGTAGTTGCAATGAATAGCAACTGAAAATGGAAGTAATGCAAATAAAATATTAACAATGACTAGCAATATTTGATATTAATAATAGGTTGAAACAAAAAATGTCTAATTTGTCTTTGCATATGATTTGTGTGTGGATTGAGAATTTTAAATGTTTGTACATTAAAAATAAAAACAGGAAAATGAAATGCATTTTCATCATTTTATGTTCTTTTCTTTCCAGAAAGGAAAAAAATGTATACAAACAGCAAAACAGATATGTGCCATTTATGGGGATGTTGCCATAGCATAAGTGGTTCTCTAGGTTCAGACATGGAAATTTTGATCTGGAAAGCCAAAAAGATTCCAGTAGGCCTGCAGTCATACATGATGGCCAAATTAAAACACTGCTTAAAAATAATTAGCTGCAGGAGAGTTTGGGATGTCTAGCTAGATATGGGCCTCTGTGCAACTGGTTAAGATCTGGGTGTTTTTAAAATGCCTTATGCTAATAAAAGCTATGAGCAAAGAACATTCAGCAAGTGGCAAGACACGGTGTCTTGTGAAATCAGTCTCATGGGCATTTTGTTCCTCAAGTTGCTGTGATTTTCGAGGCAGTGTTATCTTTTTGTTACCTCCTGTCTCTTTCCCTTCTTGTTAAATAATAGTTTAGCAGACTATTATTTTTAGAGAAACATATTTTTGCTCTGACTTTCTCAATTTCACCTTTGAAGTCAGATACAGGACAAAACAAAGGAAGTCAATTTTGATTGGCTGAACTAACATGGGAATGATAAACAGAGAAAGGTTTTTTGTGTAGTCAAGTCTAAACCATCATACAATGTAGTCATGTTCTCTGTCATGTCTGGATCTGCTCTCCAGCAGGGTGAGAGAACAAACCCACTGGATAGTTAGAGATGTATGCATCAACATAAATAAAATAGTTAAGTTTAAAATTCTCTTTATTGATGTCTTTTATCTTCAAACAAAACAATTAGCAATAACCTGACAAGATAAAACAAGAGAGAAGGAGGTAACTTTATTATAGAGTTGACACTGTTGCCCCAAGACCACCCCCACCAAGGGGCTATGCAAGACTCTCTCCTTATTATTCCTGTAGTTATTGGGAGAGTAATTGGTTAGCTGTTCCCGCTCCAATCTCAACAGACTCTTTACTTCCATTTCAACATGTTCAACCAGAGAATTTAAAGACAAAGACAAAGATACTCACTGATTTCTTCTTCAAGTTTCATTTGCTCATTGCTCAGCTTCTTCATAACTTCTTCTTGCTGCTCAGACACAGATTTTACTGTCCGCATGATCTCTTTAGCTTTTGCTTGCAGTTTTGAATCTTTGATATTACATGTTTCTGTCACATTTTCCTGGAGCCAAAATTTGAGATCCTCACTGTGAAATCAAATGTCCAGTATTAAAATAGAACTGATTGTACATCATAATAATGACATCCTAATGTTGATAAGCCTATATAGCACAACAATCCCTAGAGAACTATAAGTCCAACCAGGATTTATTACTAACAAAATAAGATATGCTAATGACACTATGTTGATGGTAGACAAAAAAAAATATTCAAAGTTAGTATATAAGGTAGGAAAAGAAAGCAGTAAGAAAGGACAAGCCATCAACTGCAAGGAGGCAGAATGTATGGCCATTAACAAGAGGGTCAGCCCAAGATGCAAGTTACAAATTGAAGACATCGCAATTGAGCATGTACAAAAATTTAACTGTCTGGAAAGTGTTGTAACAGATGATGGAAAATATAACAAGGAAATCCAAAGGATGCATTGGAAAAACAAATATGACTTCAAAAACTAAACAAAGTATTAAGGAACAGGAAAAGTTTGTTGGAAACAAAGCTAAGATTGCTCAATGGCTATGTAATAGCAATCCTCTTATGTGGCAGTGAATGCTGGACAATGTCCTCACAAATGATAGACATCAAATTGAAGATGTGCAGGTACAGAAATTTATTTTTCTAAGAAGATTTATAACAGACAACAGAAAAATATGATGAAAATCTGAAGATGCATAGGAATTCTGAAAGATGCATTCCAAAAGTTATGCAAATTTTTAAAAAAGAAATTTTTAGTTAGAAACCAAGAAAAAATGCTGAACTGCTATGTAATATCAATTCTTTGAATATGGCAGTGAATGCTAAAGAATTTCCTCAAAGATGAATAGGAAACTTGAGGCGACAGAGATATGGTCCAAGGATACTGAAATACTATGGATGGAATATGTGAGGAATGAGAAAAGTTTTAAAGAAAATCTGAACAAAATGGCCATTGCTCTTATAATCAGAATTGAAATTTCTAGGACAGGTAACTGTGTAGATGTGATCAGCATCTGGCTACCTTAGTGAAATAAACATACATAAAATCAAGTGTTTTGTCTTGTTGGTAATGTGTTGGAATTGTTTGTAATGTGTTGTTCTTTTTTAAGGAAATAAGAAGGTAATAGTCAAGAAATGAAATAAAAACAGACTTAATAAATGTTACTACATTTTTAGTGTATACAATAAGCAATGGAACATCTAATGTAAGGGAATCAATAAAATATAAATAAAATTTCTGGGACATATTATTAGGAAAGAGGATTTGAAAAGTTTAACACTCACAGGACATGTTGAAGAAAGGAGGGGCAAAGGAAAATAGAGAGTAATCTATAAGTTTGTACGAATGGATGGCAAAGCAGGGTCAAAGGGTTACAAAAGGCAGGATGTTGTGGAGAGTCATGATTGCGCAGATGCTGAAGGGATATGGCATATAAAAGAAGAAGAAGAATAAAGAGAGCTAAAAACTTAAGATGTAGTGTAATAGATAATACAGCTAACCTTAGACAAAGTTTTATCAAACGTTTGCCACTGTGGGAAGCAGACTACCAAATGGGTGCCTTCTAGAAACACTTCAGGGTGCAAAATGGAAAAGTTGTCGTCATTTTATATTCTTAATTTCTTGCATGCTTGTTGTTTGTTTTTGATTTTCTTAACTGCACAGTATAGCAGGTTCAGTTGGGCACCATCTGTGAGAAAAAAAGCATTATGATGCAATTCACTCCACCATAAATTTGGAGACTGCATGCTGTACTACTTGGCATTCATGCTGGAAGCTTCAATATAAACATTTCAGAGTGTTTTGTGTCAATGTGCAGATAGAGCAGAGGATTTAGAAAGAGTTGGATGAGTCTAATGGTGATTACGAAGGTATGGCAGCTCAGAAAACTCACTCGAATTTGTTAGTGGGAGCCTCAGAATCAACACAGAGGCAGATATAAAGTGCCTTGGGGAGGTAGTGGTGCTGTGGGTCAAGAGGATGACTGCTGGAAGGCCCTATGTCTGGCAACAAGACTCTACACCATACCACACTAGCAGGAGTACCTAGTCATAGCTGTCAGACAATTTCTGCAACCACATCATCCCTTACTCCCCAGACAGCAAAACCCCTTGATCACTATGTGTGGGGCACAATTGAGTGAGCAACCAACAAAACTCCTTGTAACACCAAAGATGAACTGAATGTAAGCATTATGGCAGCATTCACCAACTTAAAAAAGTAAACTGTCCAGAACAGATGCAGGAAATTCCAAAGTTGTCTGGAGGCTATGGTGGAAGCTGATGGTGATTTTATTGAATAAATTTACTCTTTAGTATTTCAAGATATTTTTGTATAATTTTGGTAAATATATCTGTAAAATGAGATGTCAGTGTTATTTTCATGTTTGCTTAATTTAGGCGACAATTTATCCATCGCAACCATTATAACCTCAAGTCATGAATCAAATATTATCTATCCTCCTTATCCTTATAATTTTCACTTCCTAATACCTCCTCTTTCATTCATATCACAAAGATCATTCATCATTACCATTTTAACAGTAACTCTCTACCTTGAGTCTTGTATTGGGTTAATTCCAGTATGAAAAAACTATAAAAAAAAGAAAATCAATAAATCTAGGAGTATTCCAAATATTTCCCAAGTTACCATCAACCATATAAAAATTTAGCTTGTACAGTTCACAAAGGACATTCTTTTATTATAGTAATGGCTATAAAAGACACTGCATCATCTAAGTACACGTTTATCTAGATGCTAGAAAGCAGAGTGACTATTTTTTTCTTTTTTTTACTAAAGTTCTCCAATACAAGTCTCAAGAGCCACTCAAGGTAGAGGATTACTACTGTGAGGAAGAGATGTAACAAGAGATCCTTAAGTAAAAGATCTGCATGCAGAGGCTAACATAAATACTTACCTTTTCTCTTGTGCATAAGACAAAGATAGGTTTGTCAAAGGAGACCAGCACAGGACACCTAAAGTTGAATTCAACAGATATTAAATTGAATAGTATCTGATGTTAATATCACTTTTTAAACTTTTATGTATGAAATTATGAATGGCACTCTTTGTAACAGAATTTTTCATAATCTTTTCTAATTTGCAAAAGGAAAAAGAGAATAAATGCTGATTTGTAACACAAGTTGAACATACTTAACTTCTAGTGTTTGTGAAGAAAAACTTTAAAAATCTAATTAAAATTAAGATTTAGTATTTTATTAGAAACAAATAAAGGCATGCAGGATGACTGTGTAATATCCATTCTCTTATATGGCGGTGAATGCAGGACAATCAGGGAAAACTGAAGGGTAACAAAAATATGGTTCTACAGAAACATACTAATAATTGCATAGGCGGAGCAAGTAAGCAAGAAGGAAATCTTAAAGAAAATATCAACTTAAAAAGAACACTTACATTCAGAATAAAAAAAAGATAACTGAAATTCCTTGGACACATATTGATGAAGGAAGGCTTAGAAAATTAAACCTTTAGAGGACATATTGAGGACCTATGGAGAGAGATGGGATAAGGCAGCAAGACATTAAGCTACAAATGTATTATTAGAATGTAATTTATTAATTAATCAGTTTTAGACAAAATAAAACCCTTTTTTAGTGAAAATTATTAATAAGTTACTATCCTCCTACTAAATGAAAACCAATTAAAAATAAAATATAATTGACTTAGTATTTATGGAAAAAAATACAAATTACACAGCATTTAAAACAAATTATCAAGCTGAAAGGTTTCAGCATTTAAGCATATATAGTTTTTAAGTTATTAGAGGTATAATTATACTCTTCATATAACACACTTTCAAATAGAGCTAAAAGATTTTCTGGTAAATATTAGCACATATTTTTGTATGCTGCTACGTCTGTGTGCCAGATATGAATAAATAAAAACATATCAAGTAAACAGTCCATATGATAGTCTCAGTCTGCAATCAGATTAGTAAGGGAATTCATTAAAAAATCTTTCTGTGTTTAGTCTATATTAAAAACTGTCTTAATAAGAATAAACTGGAATACAAAAAAGAGAGAATTAATTTTTGTAAAACATGTCAACAATTTCTGGAATATAAATATTTTGAATTTACACTTTATCTGCTTTTTTCTTTGCTTTTCCTTTGTCGATGACTTGAATATTTTTATTTTACAAGACCAAATTTTCACAACCTCAACCTACCGCAAACTAAAAGGAACAAATCTTACTACTTACTCTGTATAGAATTAAGAATTTATGGAAAGAGGGTGTTTTCATACAGTCAATGAGTTTTATATCTTTTAAGGAATATGAACAAGAAGTTAAATATTTATGAAGTCAGATTTTATCTTCTCATGATGTTTTTGGTAAGAAGTTTGGATATAGCCAAAAATTTTTGTTTTTTATTGCTCATGTCAGTCAAGTGTAATTTCTGAGGTTTCAGGAGCTTTATGAATTGTGGAAGTCATGAATAATAATTCAGTTTTTAAAACGTTGTAGCAAAGCAAGACCACAGCATCAAAGCAGAAACAAATTATTCACTTATTAATAAAAGAGGAAAAGAAAAAAAAAGCGTAAATCACCTGGGAATCAATTTTAAAATGTGATCTCTGAAGCAAGTTGTCAAATGGTTAATCCAAGGAAATCTGCTGAAAATGCCAGAAAAAAAAAAACCCCAAAATAAAATTCATGAATTTTTATCTGAATTCCAGTAGCAGAGGATATGAATATTAACAGAACAGAAAAAAAAAAAATCACTAAATTCATGAGTTTAAAATGTAAAGATTATTGGGAGGGAGCATTTTAAAATTAAATCAATTTTAAAATTAAATTTTAAAATTAAATCATGTGACCTGCTTTTTTGTTTATTCCACAATGTTAAACAGTATTTCACCCTTTTTTTTTTAAAAAACAGAATTGTTATTGCGCTATAAACTTATGTATTGCCCAGCACAAGAATTGACCTCACAACCACCAGTTAACAGAAACTAATGCTTTGTTGTTCTTGTTGAATTGGCCTGTCTCATCACCTGTTCTTTGTAATATTTTCTACCATGGTGCTTAATATAAGTCCATAGTATTTCTTCCAGAGGGTGAACATTCAGAGGGTTGGAGGAGGAGGATGGGGTTTTCCCCCCCCCCTCCCCCGTCGGGATGGATGCTGCAGATGTAGTAACTGCTGGAAGCCTTCTCTTCTACCTTGCATTCCCCCCAGCGTTGTGTGACATCTGTTACGTAGTGGTGGTATGACCGGCTATGTCCAGCTTAGACAAGCTCTGACAAGTTATGACCAGCTTAGACAAGCTAAGACCAGCTCAGACCAGCAGCCTGAGCAGAAAAACTTGGGTTTCCACATTAAAAACCAACATTTTGTCTCAACCTGACTTAATGGGGGGTAGGGGGTTAGGGTAAATCCCAAACATTTAGAAGGTGTGTTTCTTCTTCTTCTTCTTCTTCTTCTACTATTATTAGTTGTCTGTTGTAGTTGGTGGTGATGGTGTTTTTTTTTTTTGAATGAAGGTGTACCTCAGTGAGTGCTCGATTAAATGATTACTTGAATTATTTAAGTCCTGCATTAATTTTGTCCAGTTAAGGATTCTGAGGTGTTTTATTACTAACTTTATTATGTTTAGTTTCTTGTATATAAATTGTAATCATTCAGAGTAGTTTCCTTTTTTAAATATTATTATTTCTATTCCCCACCCGACAGACCGATCTTACATATAGGAACTAGTTAGGACTTCATAAAAACTTTGAGGTATTGTGGTAAGAATGATAAATAAGAATGATAAGTTAGAATGTGTTGTTTTGGTGTAAGGAATACTGTGGTATGTTTGGGTCAGTAATTGTGGGTAGCTAAATTTAAGATAACACAGATTGAAGACCAGCCTCCTCCATCCCTGCTTTTCACCTTGTACCACATTTTGGTATTTTTACAAAATAAATAAAGTACATTCATTTGCTTGGTGAACCCATGCCACACAAGCAGAACCCAGATATGAGTGTCAGAAAATTTCTGCAACCACATCACCCCTTACATCTGTCGTACTAACTCCCCAGGCTACAACCTCTTTGATTATTATGTGTGTAGTGCAGTTGAGCAAGAGAACAACAAAACTCTTTATAACACCAAAGATGAACTGAAGGCAAGGATTATGGCAGCATTCACTAACTTAAACAAGGAGACCGTCCAGAAAAGTTGCAGGAGATTCTGAAGTCATCTGGAGACCATAGTTGAAACTACTGGTGATTTTATTGAATAAATTTATTTTTTAGTATTGCAAGAGATTTTTGTTTAATTTTGGTAAATATATCTGTAAAATGAAATATCAGTATTATTTTCATTTTTGCATAATTTAGATAACAATTTGTCCATCACACCCTATAGATAGATAGATATGAACATACTGAGATAGATAGATAGATAGATAGATAGATAGATAGATAGATAAAACGACCTCAAAAAGAATGTGAGCTGAGAGTAAATTTGAACATGCAACATTGATACTTGTTATCTAATAAAAGCCAGATGGATAGATAGATAGATAGATATGGACATAGGCAAATACGTAGTAATATTAGATATATATGAACAGAATAAGATATATAGATATAAAGAGATTAAAATAAATAGTTAGAGAGAAAGTGAGATAGATGAATAAAGACAAAAGAAAATCTTATCTTATCTAACACATTTCATCCTTCGCATTTGCCTTGATAAAGTCAAAGAAAATTAAAGGATTTTAATTTGTAACAACTATTTATAGACAAGAGCAAAAAACTTGTTAGTTTTTTCAATTTTTTCAATTTAAGAAATGCTCATGAATATTCATCAGGTTTGTTAAAAGGCCTTAATAAGTTATGGAGAAATATAATATAATATATATATATAAGAAATATAATTTATATATATATATATAAGAAATATAATTTAATATGTAATAAATGAAAGTGTGTAAAAGTTGTTCTTGAAATTTTTTATGCAAATTAATATCTTAAGTTGGGGATTAATGTATATGTTATATAGTTAAAATAACACAGACTAGACAAATAGATAGACAATCATGAACATATGGATATAGATAGATAGATAGACAGGTAGACATATAGACCGAGAGATAAATAGATAAATATGAACATAGATAGATAGATAGATAGATAGATAGATAGATAGATAGATAAACATGAACATACTTATAGATACATATGAACAGAGATAGATAAATACTTAGAATGATAGATAGATAAATAAATATGAACATAGATAAATATGAACATAGATAGTGAGATAAATAAATATGAACACACTTAGATAGATTTGAACATACTAAAATAGATAGAGGAGGTATGGTGGAATAATTGATAGTGACTCGGATTGAGGAATTGGAGAGCCAAATTTGAATTCCAGTTGAATGCATTATATTTACTTACCCTTGAGAAAGGTATGAATTCTCTTCTTCTCCCCCCAGCTATGGGTAAATCAGGACAGACCAGTTTCTGCCTTAGATGGCAACTAGTCTACCACAGAAAGAAATGGCAGCCCACTCCGGAGAAAAAAATCTGCCTTGTCAGTCATATATTGAAAGATACATAATTGCCTAAGCATGTATCATGCATGGCATATAACTGACTGAAAATAGATAAATATGAACAAGATATATAAATAGATAAATATAAACATAGATAAATAGATAAATATGAACTTCTTTGATAAAAAGATAAATATGAAAATAGATAAATCTGAACATAGAAAAATAGATAGATAGATAAATATGAACATACTGAGATATATATATAAACATACTGAGATAGATAAATAGATAGATATCAATATACCGATATAGATATGGACATACTGATTTAGATAGATAGATATCAACATACTTATATAGATATGTACATACTGATTTAGATAGGTAAATATGAACATACCAAGATAGATAGATATTTAGATATGAACATACTGAGATAGATAGATAGATAGATAGATAGATAGATAGATAGATATGAGCAGAATGAGATAGATAGATAGATAGATAGATAGATAGATATCAGCAGAATGAAATAGATAGATAGATAGATAGATAGATAGATAGATAGATAGATAGATAGATATCAGCAGAATGAGATAGATAGATAGATAGATAGATAGATAGATAGATAGATAGATATGAGCAGAATGAGATAGATAGATAGATAGATAGATAGATAGATAGATAGATAGATAGATATGAACAGACTCAGATAGATAGATAGATAGATAGATAGATAGATAGATAGATAGATAGATAGATATGAGCAGAATGAGATAGATGGATAGATAGATAGATAGATAGATAGATAGATAGATAGATATGAACAGACTCAGATGGATAGATGGATGGATAGATGGATAGATAGATAGATATGAGCAGAATGGGATAGATGGATGGATGGATAGATGGATAGATGGATAGATAGATGGATATGAACAGACTCAGATAGATAGATGGATGGATGGATAGATAGATGGATATGAGCAGAATGAGATGGATGGATGGATAGATGGATGGATGGATATGAACAGACTCAGATAGATAGATAGATGGATAGATAGATAGATAGATATGAGCAGAATGAGATAGATAGATAGATAGATAGATAGATAGATAGATATGGATGGATAGATAGATAAAACTAACCCAAGAAGAATGTCAGCTGAGAGTAAATTTTCACATGTAATATTGTCATGTGTAACTTGTTACTCAATAAAATCCAAATTTTGTGGGTCTTTGAAACTCTATTCTGCAAAATGGTCTTAACTAAATCCACAAACATTTACTAGACTTGTGAGAATCAGGAGAATAATAAATATATATATATATATATATATATATATATATATATATATATATATATATATATATATATATATATAAATATATAAATTATGCACAATCAAAGGAGACAAAAAAATATTTTTTTTTCGGCCTCTGTGAAATATTCTGACATGATGATCTTTTGGTGCTCAACTTGATCTTTACAGTATGCTTTTTTAAAACCCTGTAACTGTTGCTCAGTATCAGAATTAAACAATAGAAAAATGTTGCACACTTGACCAGTCTAATTAAGAGAATGGAAAGATTAAAAAAAACAACATTTATATAAGAGAAAGACAGAGCTAAACTAAATTACCATTGCATCATTGTTGTCAGCAGAAACAGTTCCCATACCTAAGGAGACCAGAGGGGCGGAAAACAAAGCAGAAAAGATGGGGTGATTAGTATGAGAAATGGTTAAGGGAGGAATGATGGCAAGGAGTGGGTGACAAAATGGAAATTAAAAAGAAAAAGAGGGAGAGAGAGTATAAGGAAAAAAGAAAAGAAAAATAATATATAATGGTGTCAGGAAAAATTAAATGCAAAGGTGGATAGAGAGAAAAAGTGACACCAAATAAATAGTGGAGGAGATGCCAAGTGAGGAGGAGTTGGTAGGAATTGTAAGAGGTTAATGGTAGAAGAGGAAGGAGGTAAACAAATTTGATTGGTGGAAACAAAATTGTTGGTTTGAAGGGCATGAACTGCCAATCAATCCTAAAGACAAATTAAAATGGATAGAGTTTGTGTTTTCTTTTCTTTTTTCATTTGAATTATTGATTAGCAATAACCTTTCAGTATGATATTGATTTTAAACAGTCTGAATGCCTCACTGCCCAGATTGAAGCAACAAAACTGAAACTATCAATCTTTGATGATTATGAAACTTTTTTCAAAGATTTTCTAAACTAAGCACAAGAAAAGATTGTAATTTCTTTTTAAAAAATATTTTCAAAAGATTGAAATGCAAGAAAAATTTGCAACAAAAACTTCTCCCATTTAAAGAATAAAGTTTATAAATCAAAAAGTAAAACCAATGACTTGAAAGAAAATTTATTAAGGAAAAGTGGTGATGTTAGATTTTGTTTTGTTGTTACTCTTGGTGATCGTAGGTTGTGGGTTAGTGGTTGTTGTCTTTAGTATTGCTATTGTGGCAGTGATTGGTTGTGGAGTTAGTGGTGGTGGTTGCTTGGTGGCAGGGATCAGTAGTTCTTGTTGTTCATGAAAACTGGTTGTTGTTGGTTTTGGTAGCATTGCTTAGTAGTGGGGTTGATAGTTTTTGTTGATAGTGTTAGTTGTTAGAAGTGAGATTGGTAGGTGGTGTATATATATATGCATGGGTATGGTAGAGTTCATGTATATTTGTATGTGTAGATATATATATATATTGTTGTGGAGTAAATAAGAGACTCCTAGTAACACAAATGAAGTAGGCAAGATGCCTTAAATAAAGAACTCAAAGTGAGTCAAAAGAAGTCCATTGGAGTCAGTTGAGGAGAATTTCTTATGACATCACAGTGAGTAGCCTAAGCGAGACATAATATTATAACCATTAGGAGTGAATTATAACATATATATATATATATATATATGTATGTATTTTTGTGTATGCACATGTATGAATATGCTCAAATTTGTATGCAGCTGAAAATCCCACTTCATATTTTATGTTTGTTGCAGTGTGTTTTTTCATTTTTCAATTATTTATGTCATAACTTTGATGATTCCAAACACATTTTCTTTTCTATTTTGCTTATAACTCTGGTTTACACTTTCAAAGTCATTTTATGGCATCCAAGTACTTATCTCTTCTCAATGGCAGCACAAATTTCAAACAAAGGAATGCTTCATTTTTTTGCTTCAAGGTCAAGCTATTTCCTTTTTTTTTTCTTTTTTGTGTGGTGTCTGGGAAAGTTACATTATTCTGACACCATGTTATGGATGATATTAATAACATGCCTTGCTAGGCAACTATTAGTATCATTGAATGACATAACAAAATGTGTGTCATATCTATAGCAACCCATGGTGTGACTAAAGCTGACTGCTAGTAGCCACAGGCACTAAAGTTTATTAAATGGGATTGGTCCTTATGAATAGTTACAAGGAAATTAACCCTGTATTTCTTAATACATCACAGTGATGATATATGAAGGTCATGCACTGCCCAAACCACATAGTCCCTCTTTTTGACCATACCAACAAAATCCAAAGGAATACATATTATTATTTTATCATATTATTTGGTTGAAACAAAGTAAATGTTCATTTTTATAGTACATTAAAGTAATGAATTTTTCCACATTTTTATATTTCTCTTTATATATCTATATATATCATTTCTGTTTACCCATACATCTGTACATCATTTCTGTTTATCTGTACATCTGTTTATCATTTCTGTTTGTCTGTACATCATTTCTGTTTATCTGTACATCATTTCTGTTTATCTGTACATCTGTACATCATTTCTGTTTATCTGTACATCATTTTTGTTTATATGTACATCTGTATATCAGTTTAATGTTTTTTCTCCCATTTTGTGGATCCATTTGAATATTTTATTACCTTTATTTTTTTATTTTTGTAGACTATTAAAGTGATTTTTGTTTAAAAGCAGTCATTACTAAAGCAACCTGCAACTTCATCAATGTTTGTAAGCTTCTGACCACACATAATTGATTTGAAAAATTCACTTCTGCTGATTTGATTTGCATAATGATTTATTTTTTGCTGTTGTTGTCATAAGTCGTAATCAATAATGAGGAAGTAAGGGCAATGGTAGCGTCTCACCCACAAACAAACACACATGCTTAAAGATCAAACTCATCCAAAAGTCAAATGATATCTTGCAGAAATCATTATAAAATTTAAAAATGCAGAAGTACATGCACTATGATTTGACTGAGGATTAGTATATTGAATAGTTTGATACAGATGCAGAATCAAAATGCATATAGTAAAAAAATCATTGATGCTCTGCTCTATCCTGCCAATTCACAGAATGCATTTTTTATTGATTACCACTTTTTCAAACCTTAGATGCATGTACTCACCAGCAATTGTTCACCAATGAAGCCCAATTTGAAAATGCCTTTTAGCTCGATAATCATGAGGGGAATCCACTGTCAGATTGTTGTCAATATAGTATCAAATTTAATGTTGATTACTTTGACTAATAAAGTTTATAAAAATTTTGTTATTTTAAAAAATGTTATAATTATTTAAATATATAATCATCTAGGTTGTTTTCTTTTAATACATATTTATTGAGAGATGTGTATGTTTATGAAAGCCAGATGGTTCATGTAAAAATTGTTAAATTTTTTATGGCTCTTTTTGATAAGTGGATTGAAACCTGCCACATTTTGAAGGATCAATTTTCCTTTGTTAAATAAAACAACTGTTATTTAGTGGATCAGCACACAGAAAGAATAAACCATTGACAAAAAAGCAATTAACAGTTGTGGGAGAAGCCTTAGCACCCATGCTTCAAGGATGAGGAGTAGTCCAGCTGTGGGAGTCATAAATCAATATGAGCAAAGAAAGAGCCAATGGATTTAACAGATTAACGGTAGACATCTCATTTGAATATTCAGAGGTGGGTGCACTTTATTTTCTACCTTGTGCAATTTTTTAATTTCCTCAAAGTTTTTCCCTTTTTGTCTATTTTTAAAGGGTTCAATATTTTTGTCTTTGATCTGTGTCTTTTTCTAAAAATTGCAACACTTTTTTCCTTGTATCTGATGGTAATTCCACTTTCTTTGTAACCACAGATAATTGTTATCCTGCCATAATAGACACACAAAATGACATTTTTGTGCAACCTTGTATTGTACCTATTTCTTTGCAATATACTATAATAAATGTTTTTCCTTTTAAAGATTTATGCAATGGTTATCTTGTTTTGTAATTTTGTGCCTATTATTTGCTGTTTCTACTAAGTTTTATCGCAAGAACTTGGATTTGATAGGAAATAATATTTTTATAAGCTGCGATTGAGCCAAGTGATGATGTTTTAAAATTTTGTTGTTCAAAACATGAGAAGTGTAAAGAAAGATCTTCTGCACTTGTCGTATCTTGATGTTGGATTTTGTTGGTGTATTTTATCCATCTCTTCTTGAACAGCTCTTTTTGTAGTTTTCAGGGAGGTTTGTCTTTCCTTGATGGCAGACATCTTGATGAATAGACATGTTCTCTTCTTCTTGTTCTTCACCACAATATCAGATCTGTTGGCCTTAATTTTTGTATCAGTTTGTCCCAGGGCTTCATCATTTTCTGTTACAGTTTATGGCTTATTTTGTCTTTGATTTTAATGTCATAGTTCTTTACAGATTGTCCATTAAAATTAGAGTGTTGTTTTTTCATGCCTTTGTATATATTCTGTTTTGGAGCATCCAGAGATGAGATAGTTTATTGCTTCTTGTTGCATTTCCTACACATTTTGTTTCTGTTGTCATTCAAGATATTTTTCTTAATACACTGTTCTTGAGTAACAATAATAAACCCTTCAACTGTTCTCAGACACCAATTTGTTTGGGCTTGACCCACATCTTTATCATTGACTCATTTTGACACCCTGTTAACTGGAGTTTTGGAATATGTAGATAGGTACAACTTCTCCTGGTCAATGAGACTACCGTTTGCCGTGGGTGGTGACCTATAATGTCTGGGGACAGGATCCTGGTGGTTGAGGGTTTCAGGAGTTGGGTTTAGATACTTCTGATTCTCAACACACCACTTTGGCCCTTACCTGAACTAGACGGTCGGTCAGGGTGTCCCGATCCGATCAATCAGTTGGTCATGTCAAGCACTTATTTGGTTTCTGCTCAAACAGAAGGC